CTGTGTGTACATGTCTGTCTGTGTGTGTGTGTGTGTGTATGTGTGTGTGTACATGTCTGTCTGTGTGTGTGTGTGCATGTGTGTGTGTGTGTGTACATGTATGTCTGTGTGTGTGTACATGTCTGTCTGTGTGTGTGTGTTTGTACATGTCTGTGTGTGTGTGTGTACATGTCTGTCTGTGTGTACATGTCTGTGTGTGTGTGTGTTTACATGTCTGTCTGTGAGTATGTACATGTGTGTCTGTCTGTGTGTGTACATGTCTGTGTGTGTGTGTGTACATGTCTGTCTGTGTGTGTGTACATGTCTGTCTGTGTGTGTGTGCATGTCTGTCTGTGTGTGTGTACATGTCTGTGTGTGTGTGTGTGTACATGTCTGTGTGTGTGTACATGTCTGTCTGTGTGTGTACATGTCTGTCTGTGTGTGTGTACATGTCTGTCTGTGTGTGTGTGCATGTCTGTCTGTGTGTGTGTACATGTCTGTGTGTGTGTGTGTGTACATGTCTGTGTGTGTGTACATGTCTGTCTGTGTGTGTACATGTCTGTCTGTGTGTGTGTACATGTCTGTCTGTGTGTGTACATATCTGTCTGTGTGTGTGTACATGTCTGTCTGTGTATGTGTACATGTCTGTCTGTCTGTCTGTGTGTACATGTCTGTCTGTCTGTGTGTGTGTACATGTCTGTCTGTGTGTGTGTGTACATGTCTGTCTGTCTGTGTGTGTGTACATGTCTGTCTGTGTGTGTGTGTACATGTCCGTCTGTCTGTGTGTACATGTCCGTCTGTGTGTGTGTACATGTCTGTCTGTCTGTCCCCCCCCAGGCGTGGGAGACGGTTATCAAGGAGACAGAGCGCCTCATGAAGTGCGTGCGCGCCAAGACGGAGCACCTGGCCACCCACACGCTGGAAGTGCTGACTCAGCTCATGACGGAGAAGAAGGCTGCGCGCCGCAAGTACGCCGATGACCGACACCGACTGGACGCTGACTTTGCCAAGGTGGGCCTGTCTGTCTGTCTGTCTGTCTGTCTGTCTGTCTGTCTGTCTGTCTGTCTGTCTGTCTGTCTGCGCTATAACTGTTTGGTCCACCGTCGTGAATTGCCGTAGTTATGTCTGTAGTTATGTCTGTAGTTATGTCTGTAGTTATGTCTGTAGTTATGTCTGTAGCTATGTCTGTAGCTATGTCTGTAGCTATGTCTGTAGTTATGTCTGTAGTTATGTCTGTAGCTATGTCTGTAGCTATGTCTGTAGTTATGTCTGTAGCTATGTCTGTAGCTATGTCTGTAG